CAGACCAAGGAGCAATCATTCGCCTCTACCCCTCAATCCTCTACCACTGATTTCCAAATATTTTTAGACGTGGAGCCTTTGTGTAAATGAAATCTAAAGAGAAGGTAAACAGCAATATGGCTGAAAGCAGAGCTGCTCCAGCCCAGGTAAGGCTGCCCCCACCCCTCGCCTCTTTCTCCCATTTCCACAGCAGCCTAAGCGAGCACAAAAAAATAACCTGGAACTCAGCAGAAGAAAAATCACGGTCAAGTTTCTGCCAAGTGATTCCCTGGGGGCATGAGAATTGCTTGAGGGGCCTTCCAAGATAAACTGGTTGCAGAGAACATGTCTGGAAAGCAAAACACTTGCTGAATAACAGTGTTTCTTAAATATTAATATAATATATATATATTTTTTGCCATAGGCCCTTTTGAAAATCTAATGAATATGCTAGGTTTTCTGACAAAGGAGGGAAAAATATGAATAGACACAACAAAGTTTTGTTGTGAGGGAGGATTTAGAGCCTGGGGAGCCTCTCTGTATAGGATTTTTAAACAGGAGTCTTGTGGCTATTAAGGATCATCCACTACAAATGGTTACTTTAGTATTATAGGAGTTAAATTCTTTTGGGCCTCCTTTGGGGCATATCTTAAATAGCAGGGCTATCATTAAAGCCTTTATTTACATGTAGCAATAAAACCATGTCAACTCCAAGAAAGAAAATGTTGAGCTCTCTATTCCATATGGGAGGGACCCAAACCCAGCTTATGCAAAAAGGACAGCAATGCATTAGAAGCCAATGAAAAAAAGGGGGATCTAGAACACTCCTCAGTCCATCCATCCCAGCCCCCACCCCGAACGTCCTCCCATGGCTGCCAGGAAACCCTCCCTGCTGATTCTGACTCTCAGGCTGGCTCGAGGCCCAGGTTCTGAGTCACACCCAAGTTCATGGGTCGCTCAGAAGAATCTTCCCCCATCACAACCCAAAGTCAAAGAAAAAACATGGATGAAACCCACTGTTAGTGTTGCTTTGTTTCTGACAGATTTCTGCTCAAAGTGACAGACCAATTGTGGTCAGTATGAAAATAAGTCTTAAATGCTGCCTGTTCCTCATGTAAACATTGGCCTGAAAAGCCCAGGCTAGCAATTTTCCAGATACTTTGTATGGGATTGTCACAATTCTGGGGGATAAGTTGCTTCCCTTTCAACAAATGGCATAGTCTAATTCCATCAGATAGGAGACTAGAAAGGGAAAAAACACGTCATTTTCTCAGTGACCTGCCTGAGTCACCGTCCAACATACTGCGTATGCTTAGTGTTCGGGTGAAGTTGTTTTGATGTTCAGGGTCACTTTGAAGTAGAACATATTCTTCAGGCTGGAGATTCAGCAGCACCCTTCTGTTCTCTCAATTCTGAGTTCCCAGTGGGCTCTAAATACCAACCTCTTTTCTCCTCCTTTCTCTGAATTCAGCTGGAAGTTTCCTATTCCCTGTTGAAGTAATGTTACAGCGACTGGCCAGGGAAAGAACCGAGCAGCACACAGAGAGTGAGAATCAGCCTTTATTTCACCAGTGGGCTCAGAGGGGCATGCCGCCAAATGCTGAGCACGGCTTCCTTGTTCTTCTCCTGTTTTATACATTCTGTGGGGTTACACATAACCAATCAGCTTTCAGCATGAGGTTCGTCCAATCAGTGGTGGGATTCAAAAGCAACCAATCAGTAGCAGGATTGAAAGAGCACCCAATCAGCAATAAGCATACATATATATCCAATCAGCAGCGGGCTATGCATATGTGGCACCTCCTCTGGGGCTGCAGGGACTTTTCCCCATCAGTAACATGTACCCATTTCTTACTGCCTGTCTTACTAGGAAGTAGATTTATCAGTATTTCTTAGTGCTTAGGGGACATGGATCCCTTGTGAAAATCTGATGCAAACCAGGAACGCCACTCCCCCTAGAAAAGTGTCCCTACAAACCACAGTTTGCAAACAATGCCAGGGATCCACAGAGCCCCATTCGTGGAGGCCATGTTAGTCAAGATCCCGACTTAGCGTTTATTGTCCCAGTTATCATGGAGATGGACATTAAAATCAGCACATGAGAAAAGAAAATGTGTGTTTATAACATAGGGCAGGGATTGCTTAACACTTTGCAGGCTGAAAACAACTATTTTCTCTGGAGATGTAAATATTTGTTAATCTACTTGATAAGTATTATATGGACAAATATTACTAAGTTATTTTTGAAGTTCTGGTGGCTTTTAATAATGATGAGTCCAGTTATGCTTCTGGTATCACATCTCCTGGGAGTCAGATCTGTGTGCATATGATTAGAGATTTCTGTGAACTCTAGGACCAACATTTAGCGTTAACATGATTCTTGCCACTCAACTAAACTTGACATATGTCTTGATAATTTTTAGGATTCCGTTCTTTAAGACTTGCTCGGGTATCACCTGTTCTAATTTCCCTTCCTGACAGCATCCATCTCAACCAATCAGGTGAGGGTCCCTCCTCTGAGTCTCATCAAACCCTTGCAAGAATGTATTTTCCCTAGTGTCACAGTGATCTGATTAGATGTTCCTCTCTCCACTGCACTGTGAACTCACCAAGGCAGGAAGAGTGTCATTCACCCGTGAGCCCCAGTGGCCAGCACAAGGCTGGGCACATAGTAGGTGCTCAAAACCTGCTTGCTGAATATGAACTGAATCACAGCAATTCTTCATAATTTCCCATGTGCTAAATAAATAGATGTGAGACATGGACTGATCATGTTAAGCGCGTGTCATCTTTTGGATGAACCATTTTAGCCTTATCAATTGGTGTTTCGCAGTCTGTATATTCTAGGAATAATTAGGCCAAAGCTAACGCAAAGCAAACTAGAGTTAAGATGAATTGACAGTTCAACATGTTAAATCTATTGAGTGGAGAGGATAAGGGAACGTCAGCAGGTATGATTTTGCAGCCAGTTGCTGACTTCCTGGCTAATTTAGTGCATACAAACAGTAGCAGAAAAATTATTAATACTTGCTAGATAAAGCCCCATTTCTTAGGCTGATGTTTAACCCTCTGCAGTCTGACCTAGGCCTGATTTCTCCATACCAGCCCTCCCCACTTCTGGGCCTTAGTCCTCTAATAATGCCAGATGGTTTCATGTACCTGGGTCTTATTGGTCCTGCTGCTTCCTCATCAAAAATGCCTGTCCTCTGACTACATATTAAAATGTTTCTCATCTTTCGAGAACCTGCTCAGAGGCCATTCTTCCTGTGGATTGTCCCCACCTCCCAGGCAAAGGGATTCCTTCTTCTCAAGCATGCTGGGAGCACGGGGTACTTCTGCCCTCATTATTGATTCTCACTCAGGACCAGGAAAAATAAGTCATTTCCAATAGATTCTTTTAATAATTCAGTCATTTTTTTTTCATTTCTATTTCCTTATAATCACCTTTGGATAGGCATCTGCCTTCAGAATTTATCCGATTACAAACTATATCAAGTAAATTTGATGCACAAACATAAAGGATGAAAGATCCTGTCACAAATCTTTTTAGCAGATAGGATAGTCCAGATTCTCGTTGCATAATATTGCATGATAAAGCCCTTCCTGTGTAATGACTAACTGGATGAAAATACCGTCTTTCTTTTTTATTAATATTATTAATAATATTTGTCATCAGTTCTTGAGTTTGAGAAAATTAACCCTAGGACACTGTCATCTGAGGACTCTTCATCTGAGATTTCACTAATACAATCAATTTCACCATCACTATTAGAATCTAGAGAGCTGTTTTCCTCTTTGAGTGCATCTTCTGAGTCATCTAATAATTGTGAAATGTTCTCTGTCAGTTTTCTTCTCATTGCCATTATGAGTTTTGAATTTGCAATTGTGTGCAGTGAAAGCTAAAAGCAGATTCAAAATGATGATGATTTATTTCACTATTGAATCATCCTTCTAGACAATTCCATTATTTGATTTACTATTATAGTCTCTTTTAGCATAATTGGGAATAATTGGTGAGTAATAATGTAAAATAATTCCCAGATGATGAAATAGCGATCAGAACCCTCCACCCCCCCATACACACATACTCATCTTTCCACTTGACCACTGTGAAAAGTTAGTACGTACCCAACCTATCTTCATCCCCCCTGTTGGTTATTGGTTGCAGGAATACAGTTAGATAAAAGGAATAACTTCTAATGTTCAATAGCACAATAGGGTGACTACAATTAACAATGTATTGTATATTTCAAAATGGCTAGATTTTGGAATGTTCCCAACACAAAGAAATAGTAAATGTTTGAGGTGATGGATCTCCCATTTACCCTGATTTGATCTTTACACATCGTATGCATGTATCAGAATATCACATGTACCCCATAAATTTGTACAATTATGTATCAATTTTTTTTAAGTTTGTATGTAAAGGTTTAGATGCAGGGGTCCTCAAACTTTTTAAACAGGGGGCCAGTTCACTGTCCCTCAGATGTTGGAGAGTCATTGGATTGGAGAGTGCGGCGCACATTCCACACATGAGCACTGTGGGCCCGGGACAAGTTGGCTGCTAAGCAGGACAGGCAGCGGCGGCAAAAACACCCAGCGGGCCGGGCCGGATAAATGTCCTCGGCCAGCCGCGTATGGCCCCAGGCCGTAGTTAGAGGACACCTGGTTGAGTGTCTCCTCCATTAGGGGCTGACGGGGGCAGGAGCCAGCCAGGCTTGGCGTCAGCACTTAGCACAGTGCTGCAGTCGGGGGAGCTCAGTGAGTATTCTGTAAATGAAAAAAAACTGAATGAGTTCAAGCACTTTTCTGAGTGCAGATGCTCAGCTGCCCGAACCCTTTAACAAAGTGTTAAAATGCATGCATCTGAGAAAGTAAAAGTAAAAATCTACCGGAAGAGAGCGCAGACCAGGTAAGACTGTCTTGGACTATCTGTTCCTTTACGCAGAGGTTGTTGGGAAGAAGCAGCATCATGACTGTGGCAGAGGGGTCCTCACCTTGTGACTCTGGCTGTCGTTTAGGTGCTGGTTGATTTGCTGGAGGCTGACATCAGCAGTGGGGCTCGGCACCCCCGGACTCCCACAGACACCGCGGAGGAGAAACTGAGAAACAGGTTGTATGAGTTAGCGATGAAAATGAGTGAAAAGGAGACTTCTTCAGGGGAGGATCAGGAGTCCGAACCCAAGACGGAATCTGAGAACCAGAAGGAAAGTCTGTCCTCTGAGGACAACAGCCAGAGCGTCCAGGAAGAGCTGAAGAAGGTAAGGGCCGTGACACCACCTGGGGATGGTTTGTGCTTCTGCAGCTGGGGTGTTGGGGAAAGGTTCTCTGTCTCTGCAGAGAAGTGCTGGGTCCCCAAAACGCTCTCTCTGAAATGCCCATTCCTGTGCACTTGGGAGAGCCCACGAGAACCCTTCTTGATCCTGCTGGATGGTACAATCAGGAAATAGTACCATATGTACCGGAAGGCTCCAAGACCTCTTGTCTCCTTCTGCTATCCTTATCAAGGTAGCTCCCTGCTTCACGTCTGTTAATACCCTTGATCTCTCTCATTGGTCAAGAGCAGTGTTATGTCCCACCCCATTAACTCCCTGAAGAATTTTGCCCATAATCTGAGGTCATCTAGCCAGTCCCTCTTTTAATCAATAATGAGGCATTTGTCCATAGGGTCTTTGTGTTCAAAGTGGCCTTCTAGATTGTTTATGTCTGCAGTTTTCAGATTTGGGGTTGCTTATTTGTTTTAGCCTCAGAATCCTTTCCTTATATGGAATCCCAGTGTTTCAAACAAACAAACAAACAAAAAGCATTGATGTCTTAAGGTCCCCAAAGCCCCAACCACTGCCCCTTGTCTTCTCCTGTCCCTAGGTGGTCCCTGGGTTCAAGGGACACAGTTTTCACCTCTGGCAGAAAGGAATCTCACAGCCCCTTACCCCGTCAGTGCTCTGCCCACTGTCCTCTGGCATGTGCCTGGGTTTCCTCTGCAGCTTCTCTAAGCACATTTGTGCTATACTTGTCACTTCAGAGTCAGGACATCCCTACCTGCCTCCAGTGGAAAGGAAAAAACTAAGATTTGTTGAGTGCCCCTCTGTGCCTGGTGCTGCACATATGTTAATTAGCTCATTAAGTAACCCTTTCAAATAGATGCTGCTTATTTTTGCAGATGAGCAAACTGAAGCTGAGCCATTAAAGTTCTTAACCCGAGGCTCACAGCTAGTAAGTTTCAGAGCGGAGGAGGCTGCATCACCAACCTGCTTGGCCTCAAATCACAGGATTCTTCCTTTACAATGAGCTGCCTCTTCTGGAGCTCAGATAAGGTTTTGTCTGCCAATATCTAGATTTCTTTGCACTTGCGATACACTGGGTATGAAAGATTCAATTTCATCTTTGATGCTGGCAGAGAAAAACCTATATACACTATACAAGCGAACAAGTTCATGCACCAGTGAGCGAGCCCCCTTCGTGTGCTCAGCAGCTGAGCTGGGGTATTGCACAGCAGCCAGGCCGAAGGGAAGTGGGGCTGTCGTCCATAGGATTGAGCCCCCGGACCCTCCAACACCTTGGACTCTGCCTTTTACGAGTCCCCGTCCCAGCCTCCACAACCATCGTGTCCTCGCTCATAAATCTTTCCCCTGGCGTGTCTGTGGGTTGGAGAGTGCAGCTTGGTCTCCACAGGCAGCTCTCACTGGGGTGTAGACTCCAGCTTACTCTTTCCTTAGTGGTAAAGGGCTCTGTTACTTGAACTGATGCTGCATTATAGTCACATTTGTATGCTAGAGCTGAAAGCCAGATGGTAACTGAAGAATATCACATTATTTCTTACAATGGCTCTATGTCCTGCCAGCTTTGCTGCCTGGTGGTCCCAAGGCTCCAAAAACTCATGCTGTCCCAGCGGCATGCCAGGCTGTGATGAGTCACTCACTGCCACCCCTCATCAGTCTCCAGGGAGCAGCCTTGTGGAGGCGCAGACATCACCTGCATGTCCTCTCCCAGGCAGAATGTGAGCAGGGAAAGGAGGAGCCACTGGGAAAAATCCTGGGGACTCGGACAAGCTCCCCATCCTGACCCACACCCTCACTGAGCAGGAAATTAAGAGGCTTGCCTTTATTCAGACTCCCAAATGCATCAGCTTCTGAAGTTTCAAGTCTTGCTCCCCCAACCTACCATGAATCGATGAATTAAATATTCAACCGGATATCTGTTTTTGCATGTAAAAATCCATATAGCAAACAAAAAAGATAACATATTTTCCCCATAAGGCAGGGACTACTCTGGTTAAAGGAAAACAGAAATAAAGGTTTACATGCTGAATATTATTTTAAAACAGAAGGGTATAGAGATAAGTTTTAGAGTTTGAAATACAACCATGCAGCTTGCAAACTCTGTGGACTTTAGTTAATGTCTTAACTCGCTGCCACTCCTTAGAACAAGCCAATGTCATTTCTTGCCTGCTTACTCTACCCTGCCTCCTAACCGGTCTCCTGTCCCTCCAGGCCCTTCCTGCCACCACCTTTCTGCACCACCCCCCAGTCCTTTCTGCACTCAGCAGCCCCAGCTGCCCTGCAGTCCCTGTGCATGCTCTCTGCATGTTGACAGGCTCACGTCTATCTTGGTTGTTAATTGATCTCTAGGACCCAGCCCGGGTTTTCATTGTTGATTGAATAAATACATTCTGGCCTCATTTGCAAAGGGGGGGATAATCATACCCCTTTATAGAGTTGTGAGGATTGAATTATGTAGTGTAGGGTTTAGCACATAGCAGGTGCCCAGCAAATCTTAATTATTGTATCCCTTTTAACAATCTCAAGGAAAACAAACTTCACTGTCATGAAATAACATCCATCTGCTGGTACCGAAGGAACAGCGTGGCGCCAATTCCCAATCAACACTTGCAGTGTCAAACTGTAGTTCTGTAACCACATTTGGTGCTCCTTCATGCTGTGCAGAATGCAAGTAGGGAAACAAGGCATAGACCCCCAGGTTGTCATCTTCAGGATCCGAGTAACTTTGACATCCTCATGATCCAACCACTATTGGTTGGTCTAACACACACACATGCACGTGCACACACACACACACACACACGTACTCATACACGTACACACACCCTTTGATTGGGGAGTGGATCTGGACTAATGTGACTATTCTAGAAACTGCTCCTGTTCCATCCCTGTCTCTTTACTTTGGTAGTGCACACTGGCCCCAGTCGAACTGCATGAGGGCCTTCTCCAAGCAGCAGGAGCTCCTCTTTCTGTGCAAGAGACCAGCTGGAAGTACTGAAGAAATAGCACTCCCAGGAGCAGCCGTAACCAGTGACTGATGGGAAGGGTGTAAATATCCCAGCTCCTTTGCCCCCAGTTGGTGTGGTTACTCCGAGGCACTAGCCATGCATCGACTTCCCAATTTGCCCAGCAGATTTAGCTCCCGCAGTGATAAATGGCTTGATAAAGCAGGCTTTACTGACTCCCTTTCTTTCCCTCTCTCTCACTTCCCTGTTCCTCTGCCGCTATTTCCTGCAATTGCCTCCCAAATAAACCACATGCACGCAAATCCTTGTTTCAGGATCAGCTTCGGGGGGGGCGGGAGGGTGGGTAGCCCAGACTAAGAAGTAACCGAACAGGAGAAAATGTAGCATTCCCAAATCACAGGTGCTCACTTCAGTATTGTGAATAAGCAGTGAGAAAATCCAGACAGCAAAGGGCTTCTGATGGCCCTTATCCCACCCAGAAGCCTCACACCAGACAGAGGGGAGCTCAGCCAGGGCCTCCACCACTGTCCCTGCTGTCCAGGAGCCAGAGCAGAGGAAGGTGTGTACACCCACCCATAGACACAGTGACAACAGTGGCAGTTCAGTGTCCTTAGTAGAACATCCCATCTAGGAACTGAGCCTTCAGAATCCTGTCCAGCTGCAGAAGAGCCATTTTTACTTTCTCTTGATTGGATTCAGACCTTTGATGTAGACAAAGTAATCCCTACAGTTAGGTTAACTGTCTCCCTTGGACTGGATATTTGGATATTTCAGAGCGGAGGCTGCATCACCAACCTGCTTGGCCCCAAGTCACAGGATTCTTCCTTTACAATGAGCTGCCTCTTCTGGAGCTCAGATAAGGTTTTGTCTGCCGATATCTAGATTTCTTTGCACTTGCGATACACTGGGTATGAAAGATTCAATTTCATCTTTGATGCTGGCAGAGAAAAACCTATATACCACAGGACCCCCATTCAGATACACCACCGGCGAACAAAGTGAAACCGCGATGCCCACGCCACCATACCAGACTGATGACAGACTGAAGCTGGAGCTATGCGCACAGCCACGGGGAACAGCAACGCCCCCCCCAGGCACTCCAAAACGAAGGTGGGGGCGTGCTCGTACCATAGGATTCGACCGAGACCCCCAGTACCCATCCAACAACAAGACACCCATTGGCCGCCATTTCTACAGCCTGTGACCAGCCTCGCCACAAGCCACCTCAACAACCCAATACGTGTACACATATGCATGAGAAACTTCCCCCTGGGCGTGTCTGTGGTTGGAGAGTGAGCTTTGGGTCTCCGAACAAGGTAGCTCTCACTGGGGTGTAGACTCCAGCTTGCTGGACTCTTTTAAGAATGGTCAATGCCATCCGAATTTTAACTAGCTGATGAGTGAGCCTGGGACCAATCCAAAAGCCTCTTGGGAGCTAGCTTCCCAAAAAAGGGTCTTGTTTCTTCTTTAAGTAGCAACTTGGTTCCTCCAGACCTGTGGTCAGCCTTCCAAACCACGTGGTCCTCAGAGCCGTGAAAGGAGCACTTGCTTTTCCTCTATCATTGTGCAGGTGGCCATGCTCATGGTTCTGGAGGAAAATCCTGGCTGAAGTGATTCTTTTTGTCTTTAGGGATGCAGATGCTGCCCCCCCCCCCAAAAAAAAAAACATGCAAGAAGGGCCAAGGATTCCTGGCCTGAGTCTGGAGACAACATACAGGGGCCAAGTCTCCCACAAACCCCCTAATCTTTCCAGGTCTGGAGCAGCAATTCCCAAGGTCCCTTCTAGCTCCAAAATTCCAAGGTTCTAGATATGTGACAGATTAAATAGGTTTTTGTTTCTCAATGTAAGTACCATTTACAATACTATTTATATGACAAGAGATGTCCTGTATGTCAAACTTCTGAAACATGAGTGTTTATTGAAGGCCCAAATCAGCGAATTCTTTCACTGTAGTCAAATTGGTACACACAGTGTCCTTAGAGCATTTTTATTTAAAGTGTCTTTGTTTATTATCACAAGCAGCTGAACCATTGTGCTTTATTTTTACAAGGAAGTCACCAACCAGCAAACATCGCCCATATTTATAGTTTCATAGAATGAGTCTCATCAAAGTACTGGGACTTCTCTAAACGAATAAATGTTTTTCCCCCAAAACAAGAGATTAGTTTGTGCATCTTTTAATGGCTGCTTCCCAATTACTAAAGTTAGGCCGCATGGAAACACGATGCTAGTCAATGGTGAAGGAGACAGATTTATTGACTGTTGTCTGAGAAAACCCAGAACCTTGGGTTTCTCAAGTTTAATGTGCTTGTGAAAAAAATTTTGTTGATGTCATGGTGTTAACATAAAATCATTATTGTCCACATGTGTCTCACCCTCATAAAATAACTCAACCATTCACATGAGAATACAGTGCCTTTCATCTCAGGGAGCATTTTATTCCGGAAGAGTGTCTTCATCTTCACTTGTTGCTAGAGTGAATGTAGTATTAGATACTGACTTGTAATTTCCAAGCTATGCTGATTTCAGTAGGCCTTATGGCTATCGGAGAATTAACACCTCTTTTCCAACTTTCTATTTAAATGCTGCCCTAGGAAAAAAGAGAAGCTTTAGCTGTCCACTTAGAGCTACAGCTCTTATCCACAGTGCTTGAACAGGTGAGGAGGTTTCATTTCACTCATGCTCTCTCTGGCACCATTCATTCCTACAGCTGTGTTCTGTGGGGTGGGGGGCCCTGCCAGGCTGGGAAGGCAGAGTTCTAGGAGGTCTCCTGGATCACAGGGGCTTCGGTAGAATAGCTTCCTCTCTAGAGAAAAGATGAACTGAGTACTAGAGAAAGATGGTCCAGAACTCCAATGCACCCATTCCTTCAAGCCTCTGTAAAATGCAGGTGTTACCTGGAAGGCCAGGAAAAAGATATCACCCCAGCCACAGCAGTAGAATGAGACACAGGACAGATATGGTTTGAAGAGAGAAAAGCAGAATTGCTCTCTAGAAGGTTGTGAGTATAAAGGTCTTAAAAGCAAGGTACTAGTTCAGAGCACTCACTCCAGGGAAGCCCAAAAGTAAGATGCCCTGGAGAAGCAGGACCATGGGTGGGGAGAGGGGAGAGGAAGCAAGATACTGTGTGTCTGAAGCTCTAAAGAATAGGAGAGATTGCACTCTTGGAAAACATTTCTGGGTGGCAACTAGAGATAAAAAAATATGTATACCAGTCTGTCCTACCAACACAAATACCAAAATCCTAAAGAAAAGACTAGCAAACTGAATTTTTCAATATTAAGAGAATCACACATCACAACTAATATATTTTTTTCTGAGAATGCAAAATAAAGTGAATACCAGGAACCCCCACAGTTATAACAAATCATTTAGTAAGTACTCTTTTTTCAAAGCACATAATAATCTCAACTGATGTCAAAATGGCTCTTGGAAACAATCAGCATATATTCCATTGGGGGAGAAAATCTCTCAGTGGAATAGAAAGATAATTCCATAGTATAATAAAAAATAGGCATTTCAAAACACCACAACGAAATCCTAGATTTTTTTTTCTGGATGATAACTCATTTTAAATGTCAAAAAACATCATGAATATCATAATATTTCATTATTGATCAAAGAAATACATGGCAAAGAGATTAGTTTATAAATGCTTTTATATAAATATTTTGTTAAACTAGCATGCACATGTTTAAAAAATAAAAAATAGATGGCTTTAAGATTTGTTTTAAATTATGGGTGAATAATAGATAACTATTTGGAAAATATTGATTGTTTCTAAAGAAGTAAATGAGCAAAACTGATTCTAAAAGAATTATAAAACCTGAACAGACCGTAGAAGAAATTGCCAAAGTGGTCAAAGAATTATTCCTCAGAAAGAAGCTAGTCTCAGGTACCTTTGGCAATGAAATCTACCAATGAAATTAAACATTCATGGTGCTAATTATTCCCATACTATTTAAAGTATTCTTGAGCATTTTTAAAAAATGAAAAACATTCCAGTTCATTTTATTTAATTAAGGCCTAGGTCTAAATCCAATGCAAAAATTACACACCACCAAAAATTCACATAATAACTTGTGAACAAACATTCAAAAATCCCCAATGTGTTAGCAGATTGTTTTCAACTACATATTAAAATAATAATTTACAGTGGCCAAGTAGGATTCAGTCTAGGAATGTAATAATATCAATTTCGAGAAATCTGTTAACATTTTTCATTATATTTACAGGTAAGGAGAGGAAAACATGCTTATTTCATTAAATTCTTAGCTTGATGTCTGACATATAGTAAGAAATTCATAAATACTGAATGAAGAATAAATTCTAAGATAACAGCTAATAAAGTTGAACAACTGTTTCTGATAAAATAGGAAGATAAAAACTTCACAGCAGCGGCTGGTAGCTTTTTGTGGGTTGCAGACCTTTCAATGAATTTGATAAACATTATGAACCCTCTCTCCATAAAGTGTAAAAAATTAAAATAATTTGAGTGGAATTGGAGAGTCACCAATCACATGAAGCCCATCTGTACACCCCAAGTTAAAAAATAACTATTGACAAAAAAGAAGAAAAAGATGTCTTCTGTTATTTTATTATTCAACATCAGTTTGGCATTCTCACCAATGCAATAAGACAGGAAATAAAAGTTACCAATATTGAGTAGAAGAAAGAATTGCAATGATGTATTACTGCCTTTAGACTTCTGAATTAAGATAATAAAATCAACTAAAAAGATTGTTAGAAATAATGAGTTTGGCAGAGTAACCTATCACAAAAGAGTAATACACAAGCAAAGACTTCCTATGTACCAGCAATAACCTCTCAGAAAATGTAAAGAGAAAATCCTATTTACAGTAGCAACAAAAGTATACACAGTGTTGAACACTTGGCATACAACCCAACAACCTCACTCTTAGGTATTTACCAAATAGAAATGAAGACCTATATCCACATACACAGACACACACACACATACACACACACACAGACGATGGATTGAGAATGTTTATAACAGCTCTGTTCACAATCACCAAAAACCAGAAACAACCCCAATGCCCATCAATTGGTAAATGGACACACTGTTACATTCATGCAATGGAATACTACATGGCAATAAAAAGAAATGAATCACTTAGAGGTGCAATGACATTGAGAATCTCAAAAGCTTTATGCTGAGGCCAAAAAAAGATTCTAAAGGTTATGTATTGCCCATTTATATGACATTCCAGAAAAGGAAAAACTATAGGAACAAGAAACATATCAGTGGTTGCAAGATAATGGGGTGGGGGGAAGATTGATATAAAGTGAGACAGAAGACAGTTTTTTTTAGTGTGATAGAATTATTCTATATCTTGATTTGGTGGTAGTTACACAACTCTACGCATTTGTCAAAATTCGTAGAGCTATATGCCTTTAAAGGTTGAATTTTATTGTGTAAGACACACAGTAAGTTCAAGAAAATTTCAACCATAATAAGAGCAGTCCTAACACTGGACTAAGCAAACAGATTAATGAAACACAATAGAAAATACAGAAAGCAATGTAAATATAATATGACATGACAACAGTACATTTAATGTCAGTGGAAAAAGATTAAGATAGATTAAACAAATTATGCAGTACAAGCTGCTTAATCATTTGAGAAAAACTAAATCCATACATCATACCACATACAAGAATAAATTCTCAATTGGCAGGAGTTTAAAATGTTAAGTACAAGAACCTATATAATTATTAGAATAAATTATAGATGAATATTTTATAGCAGAACAAAAGCCAGAAAACTTAAAAGACTAAAATATTAATACTTGGTTGTATAAAAATTAAGAACCTATGTTCATCAACAAAACCCATACAATTAGAGGCAAAACAGTAATTAAGAGGACACATTGCCTAAAGATATAACAAAGCATTAGTATCTTTATAACACCAATGTATAAAGAGTAATAAACATAAGCAGGTAAGTCACCAAAAAAGAGACTGTAAATGGTCAATAAGCATATGAAAAAATATTTAACTTCAATTATATTACAATTTTTATTTCACACCTAGCTCAGAACCTGCCATATGGTTGGCACATTGTTTTGTTTTTTTTTTTCTCAATGACTATTCAGTGTCACAATGTGCCCAGCACTATTGAAGCACTGGAAAAATGGCCAAGAACAGGGTGAAGTTTATAATTTGCTCAGACAATCAATAAGGATGCAAATTAAAATAATGAGATGCCACTTTGGCCTAACAAATTGGATGATTAAAAAGAATGATAGTGTTGGCAACAGTTCAGAAAAACAGGAGGTGTACTGCCCATAAAATAGTAGGAGCATGTATTAGAACTTGGTAACCCAAAGCAATTGAAGAGTGTACACCGTTTGATCCAGCAATTGTACTTTCAATCATTTATCCTAAGGAAAAACTGGACAAGCAGCCAAGGGTTTATGACAATGCAGTTTATCAAGCACTGTACAGAGACATTGGAAACAGCCCAAGTGTCCAATAATAAGGGATTCTTGGAGAAATGAGGGGATGAGGTCCAGATGACAGATGGGATGTAGGCACTGGAATAGCTAAGATAGATCGGTCCAGTTTCCAGTAGGTGGGTAAATTTAATGTCAGGAAGTTGAGGATGTTTTGCTTTATGTCCTATATTTTGTTTTGGTTTTGTTTGTTTTTTTACCTCCATGCATCTGTCTGTCCGTATCTCTTTCTGAGGCAAGTTTTTCTTCTGACAGTGAGGGGATAGTGGAATTGGAGTTTCAGGATTGGGAAGAGAGTTTGAAATAGCTATTGCATAGAATGTGAAGAATACAACGGAGAGAAATAGGAAGTCCCCAGGCAGCACCGAAGACCTAGATGAGATCAAATCATGAACATTTACCTTAAGTATAAAGAGCCTGTAAAAGAATACAGCAACTTTGAATGCAATTAAATGCAAAATAAAAAATCCATTCTATTCAAAGAAAGCGTCTATTCCTAACAGGTATATTCATAAATTCACATCATTTGGCATAACTACACAGTATGGCTCAAGTGGTTTTGGGATTTACAGTAGAACTCCCCATTTTAGAGGTTTCTAGTATAGCTATTATTTTTTTTTTCAAAATATTAAGGTACAAATGTTTTTGGTTACATGGATCACTTTTGTAATGCTTGTGTCACAGCTATAGGTGTGCCCATCACCCAAATAATGTTCATTGTACCCAATAGGTAGGTATTTGACCCTCCCCTCTGTACCCCTCCCCTCTGCTTGATTTCCACTGAGTTTTACTTCCCTCTCTGTACATGTGTGTTCATCGGATAGTTCCAATTTAATAATGAGTACATATGATATTTGTTTTTCCATCCTTGAGATACTTCACTTAGGAGAATAGTTTCCAGTTCTATCCAAATTGTTGCAGAAGGCATCAATTCATCCTTTTTATGGCTGTGTAGTGCTCCATGGTATACATATACCACATTTATTAATCTCATAAATTGATAGGCACTTGGGTTGATTCCACATCTTTGCAATTGTGAATTGTACTGCAATAAACATTTGAGTGCAAGGTGTATTTTTGAGAGACTTCTTTTCCTTTGGGTAAATACCCAGTAGTGGGATCAAATGGTAGGTCTACTTTTAGTTCTCTGAGGAATCTCCATACTGTTTTCCATAGAG